TATACGAGAGCTTATTTTCACCCACTTCCTTTGCAGCCGAGTAGGTAGGCATCTCGCAATTACCTCTAAGATGGAGCTCGAGCTGAGGTCACTCATGCAATTCATAGAAATCAAGGTATTCTTATAAGCCATAAGATTATCTAAAAACTCAGAAAGTGCCTTGGAGTCATCTTGAAGTTGACTGCCGTTACCTTTGACAGCTTCGTATACGTTCCTTACAATCAGTGAAGGTCTTCCAAACCTTTGACGTAATATGCTCATAGCCTCAGCGTATCCCTCATTAGGGGGCATGAGCTTACAGCACTGTATAGCTCTTGAAGCATCTCCAGTGCAATACCTCATCAAATACATTAACTTCAATTCATCACTTGATAGAAAACTACTCAACATGATCTCAAACTCGTTTACAAATTGTAAATAATCAGCCGCGTTCCCATCGAAACACCGTGGTTCAAATTTAGGGAGTTTGATGTTCCTATTATCCCTGAACGGCGAAACAGTAACATCAACCATGTCATACTTAACATCAGACACATCGTTACAATTAACAGACAAGTCACCATGACTTACTTTCCTGTTTGCATCCAAGACACTCTGTCCCTTCTTTGACCCAGGCATTGTTGAACTTGACCCAATTCCAAAATCGTTCCAGATATTGCTTGTTCAAAGAGGACTTGGCCGACACCAGGAAAGATGAACGGTGACTATGCAGACTGTTACCAACTGTTTGAATCCGTCAGAAACTGTCAGTCACGTCTCGTAAACCGTCAATGCCCAGCTCTTGCTACGCTGGGACTCACGCTGTTCCTTGAAGTTTCTCAGAAACGCTTAGTACGAATGGACACAAAAACCAAAACACCGATTGGAGACTCGAGAATACTTTATTGTTACACCAACATATAAATTATATTATAACTAAGGTTTCTGACGGTTTGCTACTGACTTCTTTCTGAACAGCGACCGATGAGACGATGACTGTCGTATTGATGCCTCCGCGAAAATTGGGGAAGTTGGTTTTGAGCAAACAACCATGAATTGATCGTTCTATCTTCGACAACATTGACATCTTGTTTCATCCCGGCTCATCTCTCTGTAACCAATTACTTTCGATAGCGTTACCTCTAAGCCCGAAAAATCCATCCACATCTTCTGCATGCAGAATTTTGGTTTCTGCATGGAATATTATTATTATTGCGCCCTTGGGTTCCTAGTGGAACATAGGTCTTCAACTGCACGTCTCCACTTTGCTTCTGTCTTCTGCTGTACTTTTCGCGTGCATCCATGTTAGTCCATATTCTTTCAACTCCTCTTCACACGATCTCCTACATATCACCCTTGCACTGATGTCCCACATGCCGCTTCCTTTTCGGGTTCCACTCGAGGGCTAGACGCACGATGTCACCCAGTGGCCTCCTCAGCGAGTGTCCAATCCATCTCCACTTTCTCCTGCATATGTGTTGGGCGATTGGTTCTTGCTTTGTTTGTTCCCAGACATAGTTTCTTGTTAGTGATTCTTTCCGGCCATCTGGTCTTCAGTAAAGAGCGATAGTTGGTAGTTGTTGATAAATGTCTGCAACAGGCTGTTGGAAATATTCTTTGTGACCAGCCCGCCAAGTTTCTGATCCGTATCGAACAGCTGACTGACTTGACGTTTTTATTGAAAATCCGAATTTTGTTGGTGGTGCTGAGTGACGAAGATTTCCAGATTGGTTTCAGGTTGATGAATGTGTTTCTCGCCTTCCTGATTCTCGATTTGACATCCTCGTCCGTTCCGACTGCCTGTAGTTGAGACAATGCTCCCTAGATAAGTAAGTGAATGAAGTAACCTCTTTCAAATCCCTCCCGTTGATGGTGATTGACGTTGGATGTTGTTGCTGTTGTTGGTTGGTTATTTTCATAACCTCCGTCTTGTCTATGTTCACTTGGAGTCCTGTTTTCCCCGGCTGCTTCTTCGACCAGTTTGTCGTCGGTTTTCGCTTGTAAGTCTTCGATTTTGTGTGACATCAAACATAAATCATCGCCGCGCGAAATCCAGGTCTTCTAGGTTCTTCACGTCGGTCCAGGATATCCCTGTCTGCTCGTTTCCCACTGTCTGACGCATAATCCAGTCCACCACAATTAGGAATATCATTGGTGATAGTAAGCACCCTTGTCTGACTCCTGTGTTTACTCCAAACGCCTTGCTGAGTGAGTTTTCCGTTGTGGATCACTTGACATGTGCCGTTGTCGTCCAGCTGTTGAATAAGGTTGATGAATATTTGGGGTACGCCATAGTACTCGAGTAATTTCCAAATTACTTCACGGTCAACGCTGTCGAAGGCCTTCTCAAAGTCTATAAAGTTGAGGTAGAGGTTTGATTGCCATTCCATGCTTTGTTCTGTGATGATGATGCGTAGAGTTGCAATTTGGTCAGTACATGATTTGCCTTTCCTGAATCCAGCTTGTTCTGGTCGGAGTTCTGTCTCCAGTGCGTCCTTTATTCTCTCCAGGATGATGCGACTCAGGATTTTACTTGGCGTCAACAGGAGCATGATTCCTCGCCAGTTCTTGCAGAGTCCTAAGTCGCCCTTCTTTGGTAGTTTCACGAGGTAACCTTTCCTCCAGTCAGTAGGCACCTTTCCCTCCTTCCAGACCTTTTGCAATAATGGAGTCAGCATGTATGCTGTAGTCTCTGGGTGTGCTTTCAGTGCTTCAGGGGGTATTCCATCTGGTCCGGCTGCTTTTCCAGCTTTCAGAAGCTTGATTGCATTCAAGACTTCAGCTCTCGTTGGAGGATTGGTGTCAACTTGCAGTTGTGTACGCGCTGTTGTTGGTATTTCTGGACGGGTTGCAGGTGATGGTCGGTTCAAGAGTCCTTTGAAGTGATCCGCCCATTGTTTAATCTGTTTTTCTTCCTTGGTAATTGGGTTCCCTTGGCTGTCTTTTATAGGTTTCGCTTGTGTTGATCTCTTCCCGGATAGAGATTTGGTTATCTGATATAATGTCCTCAGGTCCCTTTTGCCTGCTGCCTTCTCAGCTTCAGTGGCGAGGTTGTCGTAGAATCGTCTTTTGTCCTTCCTAGCACTCTTCTTCACTTCTTTGTCCAGTGATGTGTAAGTTGAGCTCAGCGTCTCCTTCTCCTGTCCGTCCTTGCATTGAATCATTTTCTCTTTCACCATTCTCCTCTCCTCTATTAGTTTCCAAGTGTCCGTTGAGAGCCATTCCTTGTCTTGTTTCTTCTTTCTTCCTAGAACCGTTGAACACGTTTCGTTGAGAATCGCCTTCAGAGACTTCCAATGTTCTTCCACGCATGATTCTTCAGTGATGTCGCGTAGTGTTTCCTGCTTTGCTCTGACAGTTGCAGTGAAAGTGTCCTTTGTGGTTGTGTCCTTCAGTTTTTGAGTGTTGAACTTGCATTGTGGCCTATCTCCAGCTATCCTCGAGGCTTTTAGTTTCACCTTGAAAGTCCCTAGTACTAGATAGTGGTCTGAACCCACATCTGCTCCTCTCCTTGACCTTGTGTCCAGTAGGCTCCGTCTCCACTTTCTTGAAATTGAGATGAAGTCTATTTGATTCTTGGTGTTTCCATCTGGTGAAATCCATGTCGTCTTGTGTATATCCTTGTGTTTGAACACACTACCACCAATCACCAAATCATTGAAGGCGCAGAAGTCTGAGAAGAGTTCACCATTGTCGTTCATTTCTCCGAGGGCCTCACGACCCATGGTGAGTTCTCTTCCTGTGTTGTCTCCTCCCAGCTTCGCATTCATGTCGCCCATCAGGATTTTGATATCGCCATTTGGGACGTTGTCCATTATTGCTTGTAGTTGTCTGTAGAACGCCTCCTTCTTCTCTTGTTCTGAGACGTTTGTAGGCACATAGCATTGAATGACTGTAACTTTCCTTCCTTTTAAGTTATTCTTGTTTTATTTTTTTTATTTTTGATTACAGCTTGATCACACACTGTATTTTTGGTACAGGTATGGAATTTTCAGCATGGATATCGGTAGCCCAAATTTTGCAGGCCGACCATAGATATCAGGTGTGCGTAGGCGCGGGCTCGAACCTCGGACCACGTGCATGGTCAGCGAGAGTCCTAACCACTGTGCCACCTGACTGTCATTATCCTGGAGGAGATTGGTTCCCACTGCATGACAGCTTTGGATGCTGTAGGTGACATCATGATGGCCACTCCCTCGGTGTGCTCGTAGTTGCCCTCTGGGTGGCCGGAAAAGATTACTATCTCTCCAGTAGGTAGTTGGCACCTTCCAGTTCCGTCCCATCTGCTTTCGCAGATTCTCAACACTCCTATTCTGTACCTTCTCATTTCAGTGGCTATCTGGTTAGCCTTTCCAGTTTCGTACATTGTACGAACATTCCAGGTACCCATCCTTACTTTTGCTTTCATCGAAAGAAGGCACATCGGCCGACTGGCTTCCCGAAGGCTTTGACCAGCCTGCGTGATTTCACTCCCCCGATACCAGCGAAAAATAAGGCTATTGTTTATGTTTGTAGAATTTCTAACATATTTATTCGTTGAAGTTTCTGTAGGGATTTGGTTGTTTTACAGGGGTGGAGTTGCTAGCACCACGCCCCAACCCTCCCTCTTTACCCGGGCTTGGGACCGGCGAGAAAACTACTAAGCTAGTAGCCTAGCAAGCTAGTATCTGGCGAGGTTCATGGAATATTAGACCAGTGGAATTATCTGACGGAATAATTAGTTTCTGCATTTTCTGTTGACTCATCCGAAACAAAACTGAATCGTAAGTCTCCCAGACATTAGAAAGAAAAGTTACAGACCTAAAATCCGCACTAGCCAGTAATCCGTCAAGTGTAAATTTAAACATCTTACTAAATTTAAATGATCGTAAAACTGTTCATCAAGCTCAATGAACTTACTGCAGACCAAAGAGTCTGATGAAGCTCTAGTAAGCATGTAGAGAGAGTGACTGCTTAAAAATTAATTAAGGACTGAAAATTTTTGAATACTGGTGAGTGGACATAGGTGTTCAGTCTGGTCTGGTTTACATCAGCTCCCGAAGTGAAATTGAACATTGGAGAGGGCTATATAACTTTGTTGAAGGCCGTCATTTAAGTGGCCTGGGTCGTGGATGAGAAGGCACTAGTTCGAGAAACAGTCTATCCCATTTCTCCGTGTAGCTTTTGGTGTCCTTCTTGTACAGTGAATACTTTTATTGGTAAAATGATATGACCGCTATCAGTGTACTGCTTCTCATATAGAGTTTGCAAACGTGTACCTGATCTCAGTTGTCTGTATTGTCGATTACAATTATGTCTGATGTAAGATTAAAGTCTGCCTCCGATAATTTTGCTGATGCACATGCCCTGCACGTTGTTGATACCAGTAGAGCTAAAGATGGAGTTTGGTTAGTCAAAGTTCCTAAATATCTAGCCGAACTTTGGCATAATGCCGGCCCTGATGGTGTAGTTGGGAAAGTTGTTATTGCAAGTTCAAGTACTGCATCTCAGAATGTTAACAAAGGTCCTGGATCTCAGGTTACTCTTGTTACTGATTCAGAACTGTTGAAGCAAGTCGGTGAATCAGGAAATCTAATACCGAAGGCAAGTTTGTACAAAAAATGATATTAATTCGAATTTTTGACTGAAGGTAAAAGACTTCCAAACTACGCTTATCCTTCTGCGTTGGTGTTCTCTGGCTGTATGTTGCATTCTTTGCCAGAAATATCTGCAGCGAAAATATACCATGAACAATTAGAAGCATTTCAGGAGTACTGGTTCGTACAAAAAATTATCAACTCTTGTGGCAGATTGCCAGAAATATCTGCAGCGAAAATATACTTGCTAATCTGCCACAAGAGTTGATAATTTTTTGTACGAACCAGTACTCCTGAAATGCTTCTAATTGTTCATGGTTGGTCCTAAGAGGTGTGATTAACTACTGTTCAGATAAAGGCAAAATAGTTTCTGCTCGTAGACATGGTTTATAATTGCAAAACGTCATGATTATATGCGTAAAGTATGATAGTGAGATTCAGTAGCTCTATGTATGGTAACTCAGTCATAGCAGAAAACCTATGTGTTACCGTCCTTTGAACTCTTCCCCTTTTTTGGTAAAGGACTGGCTTATCAGATGCAGTTTTATTGTTACCGCTCCATGAGAAATGTGTAATATAGGCATATCAGTCGTTCCAGCAAGTCCCTATGTAGTGCCTCGTAGATTATAAGGATGCAGTGTAATGCATATTGTATGGCTGGGAACTTATAGCCTCCTTGTATGTATGAGTAGTAAGTTATAAGTGAACTAAGATTTCTCATCTGTGTTCCTTAACATAATTCGGGCTCTTTAAAGGAGTTGGTTTTTCTGTGAATTTACTTACTTATCTGCACGCTCGCAGTTATATACAACTATTTTCATGTTTGCGTTAAGTCTGTCAAACAATGTAATAACAATCAGTTTAGGGTAATGTTCCTATTATGGAAATATTTCAAATCAATTATGAATAATCAAATCGCAACTTTGGTGGGGGGAGATGAAGATTGGTAACTTTAAACCAAGGTTGAGTAATACGAAAAACTCAGAAAAAGTGGATTTTGACAAAGCAGCATAAAGACAAAAATGAAAATTAGTAAGTGAAGTGATTGAACAAAAGGTTAGTTAAGGAAATGATGGTAATAAATGTTATGTAAAAAGTGTAAAAGATATTGGTTATAGAATTGAGAATATTTCCCGATACGAATTTAAAACAAGCAATAAAGATTAATAAAGCGGGCTTTAATGAACTCATCAAATTTCGGTAGAACTCGTCAGCTGAATACTCTACATACACGGATATATATATACTTTTGAAATGACATCGGGAGATATAAGACCGATAAGTAAACAAACTACATTGAATTAGTCATACAGAAAGACAGGTGCGAATGTTTTCCAGGTCATGTTCAAATAGATAAGAGGAGAGAGAGTATGAGAGATCAAATTAAGATAAATTGCATTACGCTTCAACTACATCACTTAGATAAACAATTAGTCATCAGAGAATATAACAAGAGTTGCGAACAGTAATATCAAAAGTGATAGTTATAATAACAATAATAGTGTTGAAGTGAGTTAAGATAATCCTACTGATTAGTTTAAATGAATCAATAATAATAATAATAATAATAGGTAGAATAATAAGTAAAACGTATTACCATGGTAGATTCAGTGTCACCACCATCTCCTTTTGTACACAGAGACCTGGTGTATAAATTCGAATTGCACAAGCCTCTGCAATTGCAAGCATCTAAATGTTTCTTTGTCTGCTAACAATAGTGAGTGACTTGTCCGCGTCGACATCATGTCCATAATCCACAAGATGTTTTATTATTGAGGATTTTGGCACTTTGCTCTCAGCTGTTTTCAACCATTTTGGCAAATGCTCCATCATACGAGTAGACAATCGCCTTTCCTTACGACCTATGTATTTGTTTCCACAAACACACTCAAATTGATATACGCAGTTTGAAGTGTCAAGGATTGGCGACTGTTCTTTCCCAAATTGTTGAAGCACTCTCTTAGTGGTATTGGTTATAGCAAAATAATAATTACAGGTGGTCTTGGAATCATATGCAAAGTAGGAGGTCGGAAAGGAGAATTTTTTGTTCCAAAGGAACGGTTACTGATCAAGGAATACTCTTTTCGATAACTTCATTATCAGGTTCTACGGTTATATATACATAACAGTGGAAGAATTAGTGCTATTAACAACAATAATGTTAAAATAACACAAGTCAATAATACCAATAGATTACATTTGAATAGCATCAATGTAACAATTAACTGAATATCAGAAAAACTAGCAAAGATAATAAAAATTCATGAATTTATAGTCTCCACTGAAGGCCAGGGCAATTGTAATTGCTGAACTTGTTTTGCACAACCAGTGCTTTGTGTGCAATAGGAGCCGGGCCGGTGTTATTGATTCGATGTTATTTAAACATTAGTGTTAATAACACTAATTCATTCACAATTATGTGTATATAACTGTAGAACCTGATAATGAAGTTATCGAAAAGAGTATTCTTTACTCAGTAACCATTCTTCTGAACATTTTTCTTTTTCCTGTATGTGGATGGGTATTTTACGTGAACTAGTTGTCTTTGTATATACTCAGTTATATTCCATGAACACCAGATAACATTTTGTAGGGTGGAGGATTAATAGGTAGAATTTTAAATTTGCATACCAGTCTTCTCTATCCTTGAGTTACTGCCATGTGATTGCTTTTATGGAAAAATTATCACCAGTGTTTAAATGAGATTTCCGCATATTCATGACCAATATTTTGCTGGTATTTGCGAGACATTATTCTGAGTTACAATCTACAGCCTTGTAGGTTTGTCTCAAGAAATCATTCAAATATATACACCCGTCTTTTTTTCTTATTAACTGATACTCTGAATTACCATTCTGAATGGTCTAACCAGTACTTAACATTGCTAACCGATGCTCGTATAAGAGAATTATTGTATTATACCTGCCATTCAAAATAGATACCATTCCTACTCCTGTGCTTCAAGTGACCATAGTCAGTCTCTTCGGTAAGTTGTACTTTCAGCAAATAAAACCTTTAGACACCGGTCGTATCTCGGGACTTGGCTCATTAAATTCTGTCGAGGTGTTTATCCGCAGTCCCACTAATTAATAAACGTACATTTACTTTTTCCCCTTCAGGAACACCAGTTTCTTATTCAAACTTCGTCATCTGGTGCTTCATCTGGCGCCACTCGTCCTGGTCAAAGCACTTCAAGTTGTGTTAACCAAAAGCGTCCAGGAGCTATATCTGGGCAGGAACTTATAATTTTATGCGAAGATGATCTTACGTGTTCACAAACTAGCTCATCTACTGGAAGCACATATATAGACCCTATCTTCAGTAAGCTTGTGTCTTCTCCTTTCTCAAATAAACCGAATGCTCGTTACTCTCGAAGATTATCTTTGTTTGGACGTGTGAATAGTCGAGCTGAGTGTCGACCACCGCCTAATACAAGGTATATGATGCTCAAGGCCCAGCAGGTTAGCAAAAGTTTTGTTTAGTTTCCGCTCATAAAATACTATTTATACCTTAATGACTTATTTTTCATTTAGCATAACTTTTTATTTTAAATCACTTTTTTCATCTAGCTTAAAGCCAAAAATCGACCACGACATGAAATCCACTTACTATATGAACCAGTACGAAACTACAAACCAGTTTCAAATCACGTTAATAATGTAAGTATGTTTTGTTTTTGTAACTGAGTTCCTATATGCCTTTTCGAATCACTGAATATTCCTATTAATGCAATTAAAACAAGACGTATGAGCGGACAACAGTGTTTTCAATTAGATCCTCCTCAGGAGTTACTCTAATGTACCTAGCTTGATGTATAAAAAGCTTTAAACAATGACGGTGAATTTGTAGATAAAAAATGTGTTAAGTGTAAATATGTCAGTAATAGCGATTTTAATGACAGCAATCATGAGGTAAAATAAAGGGGCAAATAAGACTGAAAAAATACTCTGTCTCAATTGAGTGACTGGTGACCAAGTGGACATAAGAAGCTCACTCAACGTTATTTACTGCATTCCATGAGACGGAATTTGAACTCGTCTTTCACATAACTGAGTTTAGGAGAACAATTCTAGTCTTTGTGTATGAAAGAAGTTTATTCTACCCTTGGTTTAGTTAAATCTAATGAACTAATTGAAACTTCTCATTTTTTCTTATTCTTTACTTGCGTTTGTTTATGATATTTAATTTAATCCTGATCATCTATTCTTTACGTCCTTGGTATTACGCAATTTCTGATTTTATGTAATCTTGACCTAATTTAATTATTGAAGTGCTAACAGTAGCATATTGTCTTCATTGTTCATACCGCCACTTGCGTCAACCGTTTTTATTGCCGTTGATATTGTTGCTGTTATTATTATCGTTGCTACTGACATTTACAGCCTTTGACTTGTACTGGAAGCAAGGTCTATTTGTTCCCGCTCTTTGCGATTTGTTCTTAAACAGATCACATTTGCATGTCATTGAACTTAGAGACTGTAAACATCATTTTCTACCTCTATTCACAAAGGAATCATTTGCTCTGTTGAATTGTGGACATTGTTTCTTGTGCATATTTTTGAACAAATCTTAATTGTAGGTTACTCGTACATTATTTTCCACATTTATGTTCCTATACTTCTCGAAACGAATAAAAATTGATGGATATAATTCGCAAATCTGTTTAAAAACTTAAGTTCACTACTACTTATTGAGAATCTCTACCACTTAAATAAAATTCTACTTCACTAACCTAATTGTTTCTTTATCACAACACTATTGGAACATCCAACTAGCCAATAAGCGTGCACGAAGATTAGTGACCAACCTACATTTTGTGTTATCAGTGGTAATATTTATACGACTATTATAAGAATTGTATTCACGAAATATGTTTTTCAATAAATAAATAAAAAGTGGTATATGATTGTTTTCAGATCGAATATGAGCTGAAGAAAAAGGCAGAGGGTAAGAATCTTCGTCGAGATAAGGAAGATGTTCTACAAGACTTGTTCAAAGCCTTCGAAAGACATCAATACTATTCAATTAAAGATTTGGTTGTGCTTACTAAGCAACCTTTGGTAAGTGTTTCTTCAATTTATTTCATATACATTCATATTTCTTTAGTTATGGGCCACTAATTTAAAAGTTTTCTCTTTTATGAGCACATAATGTGCAGTTGAACAACCCAACTTATTCAGAAATACTAATCCTAAGTAATAGCGATTCTAACATTCATATTACACTGCTAAAAATTAGGACCCAAAATGTTACCGAGTGGTAGTGAATGTTGTAGTCATGTCTGTACATGAATAAAAATCTCATGCAGATTACTAATAGAAATATTTTCAAGAAACATGCTTAAAGGTGAACCTTTGACTGCTACTGCCTGACTGATGAATTAATACTAAAACTCCTCACAGAAGTATGTTTTGGAAGCACACAAAATAAAGGAACAGTAGTACATTAAAAACTTAGTGTTGTTTATTTGAAGTCAGACCACCATAATCAAAGGAGTATCATAACTATCTCGGTGGTCTTTCTTTTCTTACACGTGTCACATTCGCAGCAAAGATGACGCGTTTGGAAGCACTGAATAAGTTTCCTGCATCCTTCCTGAAAGTTCCTAATCAACATATCCATTTAAACTCAACAACTTAAATAAGTGAATTTGTCAATATATTTTATTTAACGATTTCATCCCTCTCCTAACTGGTGGTTACTGTAGTCGTCTCCATCACCAGTGTCAATGTATTCGCGTCGGTAATTTAACAATACTCACATGAAAAACTTAATTTTCTTGTAACTTTGTTAGAGTACATAACTTTAAGATATGTTATTAAGCTGAATATTGATTCGCTATTTCTGGAACATGGAAAAAGCTTCATCGTCCTATCAATGTCACAGGATTAAAAGTGTTTTTGTCAATGAAATAAGAGTCGATTTTTTCCAGAAATTCGTCCACAGTGAACCTGACAACTTTTGTTCTTTTTTCACTAAAATGGCAGCCACAAAAGCACTTCATTTACTATGAGAAGACAATCACCTACATGATATCATCAGTTTAGTTTCAGAAGGATGTTTAACTGTGTTTGATCCACATGGAAAACTACTCAGAATTTTGTATGAAGTGGTGAAGTTTTCGTCAACCGTATTTCTTCATCTTACGTGATTGTCTGGATGCCTACTTCTACGAACCCATACCTCGTACGTGGACTCAGTTACCAGGTTTTCACTTCACAGTAGTCCAGTGAGCTGTATAAGCTGTAATGATTTCTCCTGAACGTTTTACCACAATGCAAAGCAAAACCACCAAACGTAGTCATTATCATAGTAACAACTGCTTGCATTATGTTGGTCGGTAAGTTAAGTTGTGTTGTTAGCTTGCAACGGTATAATCGGAAACAAATTGTTTCTGTTAAACAACCGATTAGTCACGTCTTCCACTTCCTTATAGTGAACAGAAACATCTTAAAATAGGATGACCTCAATAATGCACATCTTGTCTTCCTCCACCTGACAGATAGCTCCTACTCTAGCGTTGTTTATATAAATGAACCAACGAGCTACACTCACTGAAACTTATTTCCCTGCAGCTCCTACCACGCCACTGAAGTTGTTTGGATAGAAATCATACTAGAACCTGTTACCATCTTAGTGTAACTTCATCACACTATCTTATTGGTGTGAGGGCGACGTGGTACTACCGTCAAATATGGGTATAAGGTCTTTCCCTCGGACCACAAGCAAGCCGGCCGTGTTACCCCCTCCCCCTGGGGAGGCGAATCCAGTCAGGATATCCTCAAAATTGTACATCTCGGCTAATCCTACGACTTTTCGCAGTCAGCGATAAAACTGTCATACAGATACAAATCAGAAAACGAATTCAAAGAGGCCGTGTCTGGTCGTCTTCAGGCAGTTGTCCCTGGGTTATACAGACATACCAGATTAATACACTTTCTGTCTCAGGCATTTAAGAAAAGACCAACTTCCGTGGTGTGAGCAGTTGAAAAGTTATGGCCGCCCATACATTCCATAAGTACACAAAGCTCTCCTAGTCATCATTCACCCCTCATTGTGACTCCTATTCTGGCAGGTGACTTCAGTGCCCAAGTACGAAAGCTGTGACAGTCGGAAAATTGTATCAGTGACACTAATGGAGTCCCATGACAAAAAACCCACCACACCGATCGTCTATCAGAGTTGTATACAAACAATCAATTGTTGCTGGCCAGCACCAATTTCACATAACTACATTGACATTTCCTTGCCTGGTTCCATCCATCATCGAAACAACTGACTCAAATAGACTATGTAGCTAAAAGTTATCGATGCACTGAATCGATAGAAGACTACCGCTCCTTCTGAGACGTGTGTAAACTCCAATGAGGCATATATATGCCCATGATAAAACAGATATGTTAAACAAGTAACCACGAAGCCTTTTATAACCCGATTTAGCAAAAACATAACTAAACGCGTATCTGACATGGGCCATAATACCCATCCAGAGAAAGCCTGACATAATATCCAGTCAGCTGTAGAAATAGTGGCAAAACGCGTTGATAATCTAGAACCATAGGTTATTTATAGACTGGATTTCTTATGCTTCATCCAAATTGATAGATGCAAGAAAATTTGTCCCACAGGGCCTCGAATTTGAGAAGGAGCGAAAGCTGCTGAGATGCAATCTGCAAAAGCAGGACAAGGTGGATGGCGACAAGAGCCACAGTGATACGAAAGGCGTCGGCTATAGGCAACTATTCAGGCTTAACAACCAAACGGGTTGTAAACCAGGCGAGTGATAAGTGAGACAATTTCTGATGAATGCGGCTTCTCAGTTAGGTCTTAGGATGGAAAACTGGCCCGCAGCCATGCCCAATTTGCCAATATCTAACATCTACCTGAATGGAATGTGGACACCAGTCCGGCTGTCTGTAGTCTTAAACAAGGCAAAACACTGGGCCCCAATGGAGTTGCTCTGAAGGCCTTCAAGGACACTGGTCACAAGCTGTTTTCTGGGTTATCTAAGTTTCTGGGAAATGTCGGAGAATCAGACATATATATATATTCCATATTCTAGGTTCAATAATCTTGTATCAACTAAGTAGTGCTGGGGAGAAACGAGGTAGACGTTAGACGAAGAAGACGGTGGCCACATCTGCTAACTTCGACAGATTTAGTAAAACTGGCATGCTTACCGATATCTCGCACTTCCCAGATTTCTAGACCTGAAGGCATCACTGAGTTTGTGAGCTGAGAGGTTATGTGACACTGTCTGACAGTGGAGAGGGTGCGGGAAGTATATGATACCAATGGTAACAGTCATGCACTTGAAGAATTGTCCATACATTATCCTAAAGAAGCCAGATATGTTCACCTGTTTTTATGAACAACGGTAAAAACGTGGTTGACTGTGGCTGTAGGAGGTGAGTAGTAAATAGGAATTGGCGATTCTTTGATATGTATGATTTTTTTCTGATCCGAATTGACTCAACTGAAGTACATATTTCTTCCTTGATTCCCTTTCATTGCAGGCATACCTCACAGAGATTTTGAGAGAAATCGCTGTATTCAACAATCACATTCCGCATAAGAATATGTGGGAGTTGAAACCAGAATACAGGCACTATACACAAGCAGAAACCAAAAGGCAACCCAACACAGAACGGACGACATAAACGCACTGTATTTTTCTATTATTAAAATACTGAGTTTCATAACCTTTTTGTTCTCACTCATTATTTAAACTCCATGACTTCTACGGTAAAATTTGGAACCATACATTTATATAAGCGAACAGTTGCTTCCAATAAATTCAGGCTGTACAATTATAAATCCATTAATTTAGGCAAACAATAGCGGGTAAAGGCAAGTCAGATATGTATCATGGAACAAGTATAAGATGAGATTAAACAAAATGATTCTAATTGTTTGACTGAAGTGTTGTATTTAAAATTGTGAAGCTTGAAGAGAACTATTGCTCGTTCTTCATTTAGATCTGCTCCGCCTTTACTGCAATATACGTATTTTTATAAATGAAATGGTTCTCTAACCAATTTCAGAGATGATGATGATGAAATCCTGTAACCAATCGAATCTCTACAGACCAACTCTTAAAACAATTGTCATTATAACGCTAGTTGAATATCAAGTAGCAAAACAATCAATGTCATATATAAAATAATACATAAGATGCATAGATTTCCGAAAGGGGTACATAATTATACGATAAGTAGGAGAACCAAAGATGTTACATAACACGGTTGGAAATTGGATAAGATTCAATATTGTAAAAATAAAAAATTTTGGGTTTAGAATGACAAGTGGAAACAATTCAGAGTGACAATAGTAGTAATGATAATGATTATAATAATAATAATAACAATGATGATAATCGTAGTAATAAGGGAAAATTACATGGAATAACTAAATAAACAAAATAAATAAATGTCTATCCCTCTACGTCCAAGGCAGAAGTAGGGATTGTACATACTTCTTTTGCACACAAAGGTCTGGATAAAAGTCATGAATTACCAAGGCCTCAGCTGTCTTTACAAGTCTGTAACGAAGAAAACGCGGGGAGTTAGCATGGATTCTGTATATGATCTTAAAATTATGGTCAGGGTTGACCAAGTAACTGAAGTCCATCAGGTGACCAGTTTAGCCACGCTCGCAGAAAACGGTTACCATAACCGATTTATTGACAGCAATATGAAAGATAAGCAGTCTAAACTGGTCACGGACTCATCTCTAAAGAAAACCTTATTCATGAACTTGAAATTCAAAGGTGGTCAAGCTTCAGATATGCTCAAAAATTGTCTCTCTAAGGCAGTCAGTGAGACGTTCTTTGCAGCAAAATTACATATGACGTTCACCAGCCGCAAGTTGTTCTCTATCTCTGTAAAAGATTAGCTCCTCCGTCTAACCGCCTCCATATGCATGCATCTATCAGTTCACCTGCTCTTGTGGAGCAAGGTACATTGGCCGTAGTCAGAGGACGCTTTCCACACGGATACGAGTACATATTTCAGCATGGTTTTACAAGGGAGAAAGGAAGTGTGTGAGGAGCTCTATTTTTGGAACACCTGATCGACTTCTGTCACTCTGTTAACCCTGACCATAATTTTAAGATCATATACAGAATCCATGCTAACTCCCCGCGTTTTCTTCGTTACAGACTTGTAAAGACAGCTGAGGCCTTGGTAATTCATGACTTTTATCCAGACCTTTGTGTGCAAAAGAAGTATGTACAATCCCTACTTCTGCCTTGGACGTAGAGGGATAGACATTTATTTATTTTGTATATTTAGTTATTCCATGTAATTTTCCCTTATTACTACGATTATCATCATTGTTATTATTATTATTATAATCATTATCATTACTACTATTGTCACTCTGAATTGTTTCCACTTGTCATTCTAAACCCAAAATTTTTTATTTTTACAATATTGAATCTTATCTAATTTCACGCCATGTTATGTAACAATGGGTATTATTTAATTCTGTACATCAAAATTTCTTTATATATATTATCGAGAAGTTGAAATAACAACTTTAGGATTCATAATAATGTGAGTTATAAATATCGAACCCTTGACAAAGATGAAATCTTATATGTTGCATTGTTGTTAATGTTGGTTTTGTCGATTAATACATGACTGACGGTGTAATTCGTTTCTGGTTCGATTTTCCGAGAGTCTTTCAAACATTCCTCAATTCCGAAGCTGAGCCTTGAGGAACCGCCAAGAGATCGGAATCAAGTCCAATAATTCAAAATAGATTGCATTTCCTACAAGTAATCGCTTTTGTCTAATAACACTATATCGTCACCTGCATGAGACTAGCTTATAGATTTATATTCATGTCTTTTAAGTTCTCTTACAGCTCCCTTGTATTGTTGCGATAACGGACTGTTTACCGAACGTCTTCGTTGTGCTGTTTGCAGCTGACGGCTAAGGTATTTCCTTATTAGCTTGTTTATTAGATGTATCACACAATGAAACAGTATTATTTGCTGGATGACGTTTCGAACAAAATTCCCAAGTCGTGTGATTAGAATTGATATGATTATAAACAATAAATTTTCTTCGAAAGGTCATCCAGTAAATAATACTGTTTCACTGTGTGATACATCTAATTAACAAACTAATATGGAATTACTTACAACCGCAGTGTCCAAGTTTTACACATATAAGACGGCTAAGGTAGTTTTTATTTGAGGATTTACGAGAGCCTGATAAGATCTAATTGAAGAAAACATATTTTGTATACATGTTTTGTCCCAAGTTTCATAATTAGTGAATTAATTTTTGATTATTCAATTAATGTGTACGGAGTTACACTTCTTGTTATGTTATCAAAATGAAATTTACAATAAAACCAAATTATATTTCCGATATCAACATGCCACAACACACCACTAAAATAAACAAAGTTTGTATCACACGATTGACATACACAGTCACGCAGAATATTTGCACTGATTGTTAAAAATCTGTAAGAATGGCTTGCACCTTCCTCAGAGAGTATAAAAGAAGTTCGACTCATTCAATTACCTAGGAAATGGCGTACATGAATACATAAGGATAAAAACAATTTTCTTCCGCACACAGCAATACGAAGAAAATCATTTAGCCAAATACCTACAGTCAGTGGCTCTTTGTGATCTACAGTAAGGGAAAGCATATATCTAAAGTGTGAGCAGGATGCCAAGATTAGCGTTTACCAAGACGGACTGATGCTCCAAAAGAGCTGCGTGAACTCCCTGCATTGACTGGATTTCCGTGACTGTCCTGAAGACCAGTTGCAGTGGCCGGTCTTGCAGGGGGGATTGCAGCGCTTACGATACTTCCTACCGTAGTGGAGGACTGATCTACATCTTGTTCTTCTGTTTCATGTTGAGAGCCGCTGGCTGTACCAGAAGCGGAGGAGTAACTAAGCAATGCACCACTAGCTGTCCCCGAACCGCAGTTTGCTTTTCGCATCGCGATTTCCAGAAGTTCTGCATCACTTAGATTTCGACTGGCAACGGACAGCAACGAAAGCATTTCTTCATGAATGCGTGATTCTGGGAATTCCACCTGAAAATCAAAGGATACAGGAATATTTAGCCATAGGCACATTCAAGATTTAGGATCAAATGTAAGGAGGTAATGTCGCTTAATAAAAAGGCACTCATCAGGAATCAACTGAGAGTCACCTTGGATCATTGAGTCGGTAATAATTGTAATTAGCTACACGTTTATTGAGATACGGCAGTTCTGCATATTTGAACAAAGCAAGAACTACAGTTTTAGCAGAATAAAGTGGTACCATCTTTTATTTCGTTGCCTTTTCGTCAGCTTACATGGTAAAGACATTATTAAATATTACCTACAACAACAATTTTAACATAGTCGCACAGAGTTCAGTTTAAACAAAAATCAATCGACCAATATACTCATACACTAAAAATTTATACATATATAAATATGCAATATTAACCACTATTCCGAACAATAATAATCAAACACAATGGAAACTTTTGGAGGAGGAAAGAGAGGTGAAATTATCCAGTTACCAGGGCAAAGAAAGACTGATAACCGCTTCTTTCTCGACGCATAAATCAGGTTTCAGGCGCTTGATGGAAATGGCTTCAGCAAACTTAAGGAGAATTGAGCTATTTTGCTTATTGATAATTTTGAACGACTTTTCGACGTCCACCTCATGACCCGTGGTCGAGGAGATGCCTGGTGATGGCACTGTTTAAAGCATTTGTTCCCTTTAGACGTAAGCTTTTTGGTACATGTTCAGAAAATCGTAGATATGCCCTTCTTTCTGTCCTTCCAATGTAACTGCCCCCGCAGATACATGTAAATTTGTATACACAGTTGGAGGTAACATGAGAAGGATATCTATCGATTTTTGATTGCACAAAAGGTCAAGTTGTTCGATAGACGGGAACGAGCTTAGCTGCAAGATACGCTATGGCTAGTGATGTACTCAGCCTGCTGTTGATCATCGCTGCAATATTTTCACCTTTATAATCAAGCTGAACGTAGACTGGCTTTTTTCCACTGTGATTTGTTTTACATTTTTGACTTCAAATCTTCCATACTTGTTGATGAACCTTTGAGGATACCCATTTCTCTTCAATAGATTTTCAAGGAACTCAAACTCCTCCTCTAGTTTCTCTATAGAGCATATTCTCCTCGCTCTATAGTACAAAGTCTTGACTAGACCACGTTTAAAGCTATTAAAATGCAAGTATTGTCCTTTCCATGTGGGCTTTCGATAAATTGACTTTTGACGACTACCATCTTCTAGGCGTTCCATGGCTATGCCGAGGAAGTGAAACTTTCCGTCACTTTCATGTTCCATAGTGAAGTCAATATTGGCGTGTGCACCACTGAATAATCTTAGTAGGTGTGAAGCATGACTTTCATTTTTGCACACTACAAATGTGTCATCAACATAACGACAGTAGGAAGATGTTTCGTCGATTGCGTGCTTCAGCTTTGTTCTTTCAAGGTTGGACATGAATATATCTGCTCTGTGCAAGTATGTTAATATTGTTGTTGTAGATATATTTAATAATGTCTTTGCCATGTAAGCAGCTGACGAAAAGGCAACGAAATAAAAGATGGTACCATTTTATTCTGCTAAAACTGTAGTTCTTGCGTTGTTTAAATTCATCAAGGGGAAGAAATGTATGAAAGTCCAACATATACTATTGAAAAACAAAGAATTGACAATACCAGGAACCTTAAATACTCTCAATGTAATTACATTTGTTCAGTGAGTAACCTATTTGTATGGGGCTGACTCGTACATCGTTGGTTCAACTGTAGAGTGCTCGTTTGTGGTCTGAAGTTCAATCTCGAGCCACCAACGCAGTCTTAAACCTCACTAAGCTGGTAGTAGGCCCGGCAAAGAGGGGAAGTTTGGGCGCGAGGCTAACAACCTCACCCAGCAAAAACAACCACTACTAACCTCAACTTCAAAACCGCAGTCCTATATACCAATCGGGACGCAAAGTAATTAAAAATTAAAAAAACTACGGTGACTCACAACTCACTAGCAAATTCGACTACTATTTTATGTTTCCTTCATAATTCACTAGGTTTTAAAATACAAGAGATATACCAATGTCTTACACTTCAAGACTATGCGATAAATCCGCGTCAAATTAGTTACGTTTTAATTCACAAATTTAACATAACATCCAGTATCACGGGCTGCAAATTCAAGCAAAAATTACCGTCACTTGTCATGCCTCATTTTTTGTGGGACCCTGAACCGCCTTTGACATTGTATTCTCTGGATTGGCTTTCGAGAATTAAAATCTTTATATTTATACATGACTGAATTTTACTATCACCGCTTCATTTTCTAAAGTCCCGTCTACGCTTAGGTCTCTTTGGTGATTCGAAACAACAGTTTGCGGTCTCAAGGTAATTATGCGAAACTTAACTCTCGCATGGCAACAGCAATATCCACCTGACAGCCCGATATCATCCAAGAATGATGTTGTTAACAGTACATAAATTTCACTCTTTAAGAAAAATGATGATGCTGTAAAACAGTATACCGATTTGATTTGGTTAATCAAATAGTAATTCAAGAAATCATATGAACTACTCACTACTGTAATACGTTTAATCCCTGAAAGAGATCAGTTTTCCCACCCGCGTGCTACTGCGGAGTGCTCAAAGTAGTTTAATCCAAACGGACTAACAAAGTTACGTCTCAATATCCATATATTAATTTGCCACACAATGTTAGAATATTTATGTTACGTTTTTCTTCACTATGCTCATGAGATATGTACCAGATTGACATACTATACGTTTCTGGTCCATTTGGTCATGATCTTATGGAAAGTATCTGGTTCAGGAAGTAAGATACTACACGGTAACGTATGTTTGGTATCGCATTTTTTATTCAAAATTAACATTGTTTGAAGTGTAAGTTAGTAGCCGAACTTACTTTGATAAGACGCTTTTCTGAGGAGTAGTGAATAGCTATACAATCTATGCTTCTTAAACGATGACCGCGACAGTAGTAGCTCCATTCACAAATCTCATTTTGTTCGCTTTTGTCTCGAACGTCTTTCACAAATAATACAGTGGCAGGAAACATTAGGGCATATTTCTCTAGGCATTCAATATTTCGCAAAAGATTGTCGTGCGAATTACTACACAAAACAATAAAAACAGAGATTTGATTTGTGTATGCATTAATAAACTGCGATAGGTTCACACGAAGGCATTGTTTTTGCCAACTTCAGTTGGTCAATAAAAGGCCGATATAAACAGTTTGTAACAGAATCTGGGCGAAACACTTTAAGAAAAGAAAATAATGCACAGATTGCTGGGTTTTTCAAAAGGCCAAGACACCTCTGAACCTTTTTATTTAATTCTACTCACCATTCAACAGTTATGAGCATTTACTGTAACACTGCTATACACTTTAACAAACTCGTTTCGTTTTGTATTTAAAGCACCTTGTATAACGTAACCTTGTTGAGTTTATGAGCTTTACCTTCAGATGATGCAGCTACCAACAATACCACTGAATTCAACTATCATGCAGATCCAAATGTTACCTTCGCTACATGGTTCAGGCACTATGGAAATCACTTTAAAGTGGGGTTGTCTGGCCAAGATGATTCGGCTCCTTCGAAAGCTTGGTCCACTTGAACTCGCCAGATGTTGCAATATGATACTGCTCTAAGCCCTGGTGATGATAAGTACCAATGGCTGACCTGACCGATAGCTGCTACCTTGACGTGGGGATCAGGCTTGCACATCGCAATGACCCAACAAGCTACACTGGCTGAAACTATTGTTCATGCAGGTCCTACCTTGCTAGGAAGGTTGTTAGGATAGCGATTAGACTAGAAACAGTCGCCGGTATAGTAAGATTTTTTTACACTATGCTGGGGGTCTTTAGGCGAAGACGTATTGCTGGGGAACAGGGATGTAACAGCAGTGAGGTGTTTCCTTCAGATGACCAGCATGCCAGCTATGCAGTCTCTCCACTCTGGAGGGAGGGGGTTGAAAAAGTTCGACCCCAGAAATTGCACATCCCGACTTGCCCTACGGTATTCTGTAACCGCAGGCCGTGTATGGCTGGCCTCAAGCAGTTGTTCCCTGGGCTCTGCAGTCACGCAACACTAACCCTCTTTCTGTTTCATGTATACTAAGAATCAACCAACTTCCACGGCGTGGGCAGCCAGGAAGTAACAACCGCCCACACACTTCCAAGAGCACACGGAACCTTCCTGAGCATTATTCTTCTTTACTCACATCACCCTCATCATCTTACTTCCCTACTACAGTTAGTACTATTCTTCAGGCTAGTAAGGCATCTTCATTTCACTATGTGACCACAAACAGCGGTGAGAGCCATAAAAACACTCCCCAACAGCCTCTTAAAGCCACGTCGTCAACTTCATACCGGGGCATTTAATGTCAGGACCCTCCGCCAAATCGGACAACAAGCATCACTAGCAAGAACTCTGGTATCTCGAGCCATGGATGTATGCTGTGTTTCAAAGACATACATACAAGACCCGAGTGTGTTCAATCACTTAGCCCCACACGGCCAACAAGGTGAATCAGCGAAATTCACCTTAGGGGGTCAGAAGACCCCTTAGCTAATTAGCGAGGATTCGCAGATGTAGGGATAGCACTGAGTATTAGGGCAGAAAAATTACTTCGTGACTGGATCCCAGTGTAACAACAGAAGACAAGGGCCAGGCAACAGATCGTTTTATTATGAAAATCAACACGTATTTATACATATTTCAGACAACATTATTATAGACAAGCGCAGTCATCTGATTGGTTGTTTAGGTAGACAAACGCAGGCTTCTGATTGGTTGCTTCGGGATTCCTTGACAAACAGAGTTCTCTATCTGCGAATCATATTTTGCCACGTTAACTTCGCTGTGATTGGTTGTTGACTCAGCCTTGTTCACGGCCCATATTAGTGACCTAGACCCTAACGTAGATTAGTGCCAACCAATCGGCTAGCAGCCTGCTCTCACCACACTCGTCCCCCCGTCAAATACGTGCGACTGAAGTCGGCTTGATCTACTTGGTGCAGGCGTCATCGTTGGCTTGTCTCGCTGTATCCATTTCTGGAGCTCGCTGACGTTCACGCGCCTCTCATTGTTCGCCATTGCGACTGTGTCTGCGTAACCCCATCTCGAAGTGACCATATATGGTCCTTCCCACTTTGGAAACTGTTTGCCTGACCCTGTCGAACATTCGTCCATACTTCGGCTCACACTTTCATATGCTGCTTTCACCCGACCTCCCAGCAGCGTCCCAAGTAGCAGCTCCATCGCTGACAGATCTTGAACGCCACTCAACTGCGCAGAAGCCTTGAAGTCCTGCCCGAAGATGCATATGTCTCCATCAAAAACTGCAGGGTATAGGCTTTTCATTTGTCGGTAGGCAGCGACACCAGTACATAGTCGTATGTGTGTGGTCCGTCTGAACGATTCCGCTAGAAAAAGGAAGGACGGTGTAAACCGTCGTTGTCTTCACGCAGTCTTCGCTTACGCCCCAACAGAATGCAGTTCGGATGAACTATAGAATGACTTCTACCACAAACTGTTTAATTTGCTGCGGAAAGCACAACGTTCAAACAGAGTCGTTTCAGTAAGCGACTTCAATGCCCAAGTAGGGAAGTTGTGCCAGACTGAGAAGTATACAGGTGGTACGTACGGAGTCCCCTGCCGAAGAACCGACAACAGTGACGGTTTTCTACAGTTTTGTTCAGACAACCATCTGTTCATAATCAGCAGTAACTTTAGGCACAAAGAGAGACATCACCTAACCTGTCGACCACCATCATCAAAACCAACGCTGGACTCAGACCACATAGCGATAGGGTATCGTTGGAGACGGTAAGTAGAAGACTGTCGCTCCTTCTGGAACACGTGTGTAGACTCTGACTACGCTCTACTTTGCGAACGTTTATGCTCATGTCTTAACGCACATAGGAAATTGACAGCAGCAAAACAGTCACGTCCCCAATTAGATCGAGACTCTCAGTCCCTATAAAAGGAAGAAATAGCGAAATGAGTGTCTCAGGTCGAAATCCAGTAGCCTGGAACAACATACAGTTAGCTGTAGACACAGCTGTAAAAGCTGTTAATAAGCTAAAACCAAAAGTTAGTAAGAGCTATTGGATCTCCTCCGCCTCATCCGAACTTATTGACGCAAGAAGACTGATTCCGACGAGCTCCGATTATGATGAGGAGCGAAAGCTACTCAAACGAAAACTAACAGGAAGTCTTCGCAACGACTGTGAACAGTGGTGGGCGAAAAAAGCGAAAGAGATGGAAAATGCATCGGCGATTGGTAACAACAGACAACTATTTAGGCTTATCAGGGAAACAGGTGATAAAAGCGAATGTTAAGTGAAATAATCTCTAAGAAGAATGGCATCATAATTAGCCCGAAAAATAAACGACTGGAACGCTTGAGAGAGCACTTTGAGGAGCAGTTTAGTTGGCCTACAGTCACACTTAACTTACCGAGCATCCAACACCTTCGTGAATGGGATATGGACACATGTCCTCCTTCCCTAACTGAGGTTACTAAGGCTGTCACTAGTCTGAAACGAGGCAAAGCAGCAAGATCCGATGGAATGATTCCAGAGGTATTTAAGTGCGGTGCAGACAGTTTACTGTCCGCGTTAACTAAGGTATTAGGCAGCATCTGAGAATCAGAGGAAGTCCCATCGGGTTGTAGTAAGTCATTGATTATCCCGATATACAAGAAGGGAGACAAGTCTTCCTGTGATAATCAGATGGCGATTAGCTAGACTAATATGATATCTAAGGTTCTACGCTCAATAACTATGAGTATGAGTAGACTCTGAACGAACACGAGAGAATTAGACAGGCTTTAGACCAGGAAGAGGGTGTATTGATCATATCTTCACCCTTCGACAGATTCTGGAACACGGACATTCTTACCGGCGTCCAACAATCAGCAGTCCGCTCCGTCCTCCTTTATGGCTGTGAGACCTGGCCATTCAGAGTGGAAGACATGAAAAGCGTGGCTAGCTCTCTTTGATCATAGGTATCTGCGTTCTATCTCCCGTGTGAAGTGGTGTAATAAGGTGAGCAATATTGAGGTGAGGCATCGGTCGAGTTCTAGGTAAGGAGGGGGATATCAATCGACGAGGCTGTAAAGCTAGCTACATCGACTGAGATGGTTAGGATATGTGTTACGTGTGCCTAGTCATCGCCCTCTAGACGGGCAATGTTAGCTGACATAGGGTCAAGGCTGGAAAAGATCTAGCGGCGGTCAAACCAATAGATGGCACTAGTCAATGAAACCCACAACAGTTAGTCTAAGCCATGTAGGAAGGTGTAGACTTCGTGGTCACGGTCCTCGGGACGATAAAAACTAATGGCTGGAGACAATTGGTGATATGGCTCAAAATCGTTCTAAATGGCGCAGATTCATCCACTCCTTGTGCTTTCCAATGAAACTGTTTTGTTCTTCGTTACTGCTATTCTTTTGTCTCACACCTCTGTTTACTGTCTCTATTATGCATTTCTTCTACTTTCTTCTCTTGATTTGTGTGCTACATGGAGTGTGGCGACTTGAACCGCTGCACATCGGTGCAAAGATCTATGTCGAAAACAGACAGACCAATGGCTGAAGACTACTGGTGAGATGGTTTAAAATACTCTTTGTAAGCAATATCCTTCGAGTACTCGTGTTTATATATTATACAGTTTTACCCGCCTAATCCTACTTATTATAGTTCATTTTAGTATTTTTGTGATATATAATGTGATAACTTGAATCATTGCAATTTTCTTGCCAAGTTCTATGTTGAGGCTCATTCTTCCAAAGAAATTCGACAAAATCCTATTATTTACTGTGACACTCATTTGAGTTCTATGCCCTTTCTATTATTACGACAGTTATAAATTATCGGTCTTGCACGGTTAAGAAATCCTGAATGAAAATGATGTTCATTAGTTAGGTATAAATTCCACGATCAACTAAAGGTGCAATGTTGTACTGCACTTTTTCGATTGTAACAGAAGTTAATAAATTTATAGACCATCCAAAGGATGAGATCACATTCATTACACTCGGATTTCATATCAACAGCCCAGTGAAACTCACGTAAAAGATGCGAAGGGAGTGCCAAGAAAATACATTGCACTAATCAAGGCACTCTATTCAAACTCACGTAGTCGTGTAAGGGCTTATGGGGAATTGTCATCTGAATTGATAACAACCAGTGGTGTCCGACAGAGAAGTCCACTTCACCCATTTCTGTTTAACTTCATCACACATATGCTAGTGGAAGTATCCTTAACTGAACGTAACGATTTAGGAATCTACTTGTTAGCAGGGAATAGTCTTATGGACTTAGAATATGCAGATGACATAGTCCTGTTAGGGTAGGATGCTGACAAAATGCAGAGTCTTCTGAACACCTTGAGCAGCAATCTTCGTATGTTTGGCATGCGATTCGCCCCTACAAAATGTAAGATGCTGCTACAGGACTGGACTACGTCAACTCCTAGCTTAGTGATAGGAAGTGAAGTGATAGAACGTGCTGACCACTTCACCTATTTGGGAAGTTGTAACAGCACCAACGGATTGATTGGCGAGAAAATCTCAGCACGGATCCAAAAAGCTCGAGCTGCTTTCGCTAACTTACACCATCTCTGGCGTAGGCGTGACATCCGGCTATCAACCATGAGACGTGTGTACTGCTCACCAGTTCTCTCCGTCCTTCTCTATGGCTCTGAAACATGGCCAATACGCGTTGAAGACATGAAAAGGTTGAGTGTTTTCGATCATAGATGTCTGCGATCTCTTTCTCACGTCAGGTGGTTTAATAAGGTAAATAATGTTGACGTTAGGCGGAGTGTTGGGCAAAGAGGGAAAATCAATCGACGAGGCTATAAAGTTACATAGATCGAGATGGCTAGGTCACGTTCTGCGCATGCCTAACCATCGCCTCCCCCGACAGGCATAATTAGCTGATATAGGTGCAGATTGGAAAAGAGTGAGTGGTGGCCAAACAAAAACGTGGCATCAATCCATGAAATCCTTGACAGTTAAACTGAGTCAGGTAGGGAGATGCAGACTTCCGGGTTGGGGCTCTCGGGACTATAGGAATCCATGGCTGGAGACAATAGGTGACATGGCTCAAAATCGTTGTCAATGGCGCAGATGTATTCAGTCTCTGTAATCTTTCATATTTCATTCTATTATTACCCATTCTGTTTCGCTCTTATACTTATCAAACCCTATTGATTCTCTTCACTTATCTTCTTGTCTACCTTTGTGTGCTATTTGGAACGTGGCAACTTGAACTGCTGCACTTCGGTGCCAAGTTCTATGTTGAATCCAGACAGAGACGGACGTAAAAGATGTATACCAAATTTCAAATAGTGTTATAATTTTATTGACTGATCATATCAGGTTAATTAATCGATGCTGTTATTGAGACTTTAGATGTGTACTCGGCAATCAACACAAAAGAAAGTGAAAGCTTTAAACAACTTTGAAAATTCCTTATACCGCTGAGTATACGAAATATCAAAAACAAGCAGCATATATATATATATATATATATATATATATATATATATATATCGAGAAACTTACCTAGTATACGAGAATACATTATTGTATCGGTTCATGGTGAGTTTGACAACAGGCTATAACAAGGTAATAAATAAAACAAGCACTGAAGTCAGAATAGAGGTTACAAACATTCAACGGTATTATTAGTATTCATAATTTCACCTATGGATGTTTCAGGTTTTGATTAACAAGTGAAACGTGTTGTCACGTGTGGTACGACAGACACAGCATTTTAGGAAAACGCTCTGATCCTTATCACTACTATTCCTCATACTATATCAGTAATTTACTCTTGCATTACTACTATACGCTCTTAAGTGTTGTTCCATGTTTCAAAATAGTAGCACACTTGTTAAAAAAGGCTTTATAGTTGGTTTTCTAATATGCCAGCTCATGAAAGAGATGTAACTCAGTAACCAACCACACTGTATAGTATTGCTGTGAGCTGCATACTCAACATATGTGACCGGCCGATAACTGCTACCTTGTCGTGGTGGTTGGGCTAGAATAACACAATGACCGAACATGCTAAACTGACTGGGACTCTGTCCCTGCAGGCCCTACCGTGTCAGGAAGGTTGTTTGGATAACGGTTGAACTAAAAGCAGTTACCATGGGGTGCATGGGCTCCAGTATCCAATCGGATCAAATGGCGTATGAACCCATTTGGGTCACCGGCAACCATGGGAATGCAGCTCCTGACGCTGCTCCGCTGCCTTGCGGATTAGACTCCAAGTCAAAGGCTCGCGGGGGTGGTCCCTTAATAAAACAACCTGCTTCGGTCTGGGCGCTCGGACAGTATCTCAGCCCTCACACAATGAATTGAATGAAGCAACAAACAATCAATGAAACTTATCGCGTGATATTACACGCGTTGCGATTTCCTTCTATCTTCCCTTCCCGATGATAGTTAACGAATACTGTTTGAACTTGTTAAGCATGACTGTTTTCCTTCCAGATGAAGTTCTTTATCCGTTCTCTACTTATATATATATATATTTCTCTTCTTCCTTTCTTTTTTTGATCTATGTTGTTTTATTATTATTGTGGTGCATCCTTTTTGGTGCCATATTTTACCAAGTTATTATGCGTTTATATAAGTAAATAAATAAACATGTTTACTCATAACAAGTCTAAGCCGAAGAAAAAGGTCTCTACAAATGCACTAATTGTTGGCAGTCCTAACAAAAGTGTGTACGTTTATCCTGAAAGGCGACAAAAATACTTGAGTATTCACACAAAGTAAAAAACCTGTTCGACATTTATCTTAACTGACCGATTCATTATTAAGTTATTCATTAACAAGTGTGCTCTAGTTTGTATCAGCTAATACGGAAATTCAGCTCATGAAAACACGTGAAATTTTTAGTATATGTATACATAAGGAAATGTGTTCAAATTACTTCTTACTTTACGAGTAGAGGAAAGTAAAGACTTCGCAGCATTAGGACATTTAACAATAACTATTGTTGCACGGTTTTGTAAATCTTCGTAACTAGTTAGTCGTCCAAGGGCCTCATCACAGGCTGAACATAAACCTTCAACACAAAAATATTTGGCTTCCATAGCCAGTTCTTCCAACTCTTTTCTGGTTTCTGGGAGGGGAACTGAACCATCTCGAATGTAGTTCAAAATTGTCCCGAAATGTTTTCCACTGCGATCTATTAGTACCCAGCCTGAAATGAAAATGAACAAATTTATTCTTATTATATAATAAGAATACTTCTGTTGGGAAATAAGTGGAAATTAATTCTCTGTCGTATGTAGCATTTTATGAACCTTTTGTAGCCACCTTATCTCAACCAATATTTTGCTTTATATATATATATATAAAAACGATCTACGGATAATAGGCTGTTATACTGAGACTGGACGAATCGATAACGTGTTCATCTTCTCCCAGTTGGTTAAGCACATTCAAAATTACTGACGGTAGGAAACCAGGAGTCTGTCTGTCTGTTTTCGACACAGAACTTTGCACAAATGTGCGGAAACCAGGAATGGCTTTGATTCACTGAACAGAATTGTAACTTAGTGTCATCTGTTAGAGAAAGGCGTTGCTGAGAGTTTTATCGATATCTTCGTAGTCCCATACAAAAGCACTTCCAAGAGAGTGAGGGAATTGAAGCAACGTCGTCAACGACCATCAGTAGTGATGTTTGACACAGTTGCTTCATGTCTTTGTCTTATCGATCGATAAATCTCTGAAAACACCTCCGAAAGATCTACATGGTGTTGGTGCTGATGACTGCTCTATTTTGGGTACGCAGAAGATATGGTCCTGCAAAACCATTGTATACAGGCCATCCAAATACCATTCAACTAGTCGGTGATTACAAGATGTGATTTGTACAATCCAAATGAAACTACTGGTGCAATATAGGTTCAAATCAGCATCCGCGCCCAACATCACAGGTGAAACGTTAGTAATACAGAATTATATGTATCTAGATGCTTGTAAGAGTGTTGGTGGTGAGACAGGCAAGATTTAGAACCGTATAGTAAGAGTTAAGACGTAATGCCGGATGGCGCCGCTACGTTAATTTGGCCGTCATAGATTATTGACAAATCCTGGTCAAGCAACCTTCCCCCGCACAAGTCAAACTTTAACTGATGATCGTCTATGTCCTCTTGGAATTTAGAGCACTTAGCGGAGTTAACATGTATACGGATTTCCACTATTTTTATAGCTTGAAACAATACCGTATTTTTGATACAGGTATGGAATTTTCAGCATGTGATATCGGTAGCCCAAGTTTCGCAGGCCGACCACAGATATCAGTGCGCGTCGGCAGAGGATCGAACCCCAGACCATGTGCATGGTCGACGAGAGTCCTAACCGCTGTGCTAGCGACGAAGTTTGATGGCAAGTGCTTGGCAGATTGTGAATTGTCCTTCAGTTGTTGACGTTATCTTGACACGACGGTTCAGGATGCGTGACGACTTCACCCATTTATTTATGTTGCGCAGCTGATACACTAATGGCATGGCACCGTCAGAAGCTGAAAAGACCGCTTAGGTTGCAAAAGAAATGAGAAGATACTGCATAAAAGTGCTAGGGATCTGCGACAGCGGGTGGAATGGAAGTGGGCTTTCCAAATGGTCAACTTGACAGTCAGTAATTTACTACATCCACGTAAACGACAACCACAAGAACGCTGAGTGAGTGATGTCATTAACATTCTCATAAGCTCCAATGGAATGGCAACCGACCTCCTCCAAGATTCAACTCAAAAAGTAGGAAAGTTACAATTGCACTATCCTACGCTCCTACAAACAACGGAGACCAAGAGAAGAATTCTACTAACAACCGTGGACAGTAATGAACGAACACCAAATGCTGACATCAAAATCCGAATGTGATATGAATGTAAAGCTGGGAAGAGAAACACAGGAAAAGGACTCATAACATATTAGAAGGCTCTTCGTGATATAAATGATAATGACACAATCCTCTCAGACTTCTGTACGTTCAATGATTTGGTGAATGGAGACAGCATGTGCAAAGGCGAAGCGGGTTTCAGACAGATAGACTTTATCTCAATTACAAGAAAGTAGGAACAGCTTATTGGACATAAAATAGAGGAGAGGAGCAGACAAGGGCTCAGACTATTATCTAACGGAAGAATCCATCAATGTCAAGTTGAAAGCCTTTAATGGAGCTGGATTACAATCCACTTTTAACATTCACACACCAAAAGACAAATCTTTAGAGGACATCACTACTGCAACCATCATAGAAAAGTTGGAAAAGCTACGTAGCATCAGAGGAAATAAGTGTGGAAAAGCAATGGAATTCTTTGAAAGGAACAATGAAAGAAACCTGTAGAACCAACTTAATGCAGAAAAGACAAGACTAGGAATGGTTCCCTATGGACAACTGGAACTTGGAGGAACGGATGTGAAAATATGGATGAACTAGTGTGAATATCGACAGTGAAAAGGGAAACTGAGTTCAATCTACAGTTAACTGAATAAATAATTGAAGAGTTCTGGGAAGGACACAAGACAATTCCATGGCATTGTCAACAGAAGCCCAACAGGCTGTAAGACGGACCAAAGACCTCCATACAGCATAACCATATCGCTATCTGGGAAGAGATCGATACTAATGAAACTAGTGGTTAGGACTCTCGCCGACCATGCACATGGCCCGGGGTTCGAGCCCACGCCGGCGCACACCTGATATCTATGATCGGCCTGCAAAATTTGGGCTACCGATATCCATGCTGAAAATTCCATACTTGTACTAAAAATACAGTGTGGAATCAAGCTGTAAATCAAAGATAATAAAAAATGAATGGAACCTAATTATCAAGGAGGAGAAGCAAAGGAAACGATGCCCTCATCGCTTCAAAAAAAAAGCTCGAGCAGACAACCTCTTAAAACTCCTCCAAGGAATGCACTAAATTATTTAAACCCCTTTCAGCAGCTACATTCTGATGCCAAATGTCAAGTGATACACAAGGTAAAACTCAGCTGCCTAATATCACCAGAATATACTACTGACTCCAGTGGATCATGCAGCAGAATGTGGGGAAGGAGAATGGAAAACAAGAAGCCGATGGAAGATTCAGACCTTATGTCAAATGTCTTACAAACTCGAAGATCTGCATGCAAAAAACACTTAGGTTGAAAAAGCAGTGAAAACAGGGCTACTAATGACCATGGAGAAGGCATAGGTGATACAGATTTGTAACCAACAACAAGATGTTTTATTCACCAAAAACAGGAGTAATCTGAAGTCGTTTTCACCCAATTATCTAGGCGACATCAAATGAGGATCTTAAAAGCAAGGCATATTTTGCCTATTCGAAACTCAGGGTAGGAATCTGCTGCACACCACAAACAAGATTCAGATTTTTAAGAATAATGCCAGGTCAGTTCGTCAGAAACTTGGCGAGTCACAAAGAGCATTTTCAACAACCTGCCGCATACTGGAGACCACATCACCTGTAAGGATTGAACACACGAAACTCTAGCAATAAACTAGGGAAGGAGTTTTTGCTTAAAATTTGTGCGGAAGGAAGTTGAGATGGAAACAAATTGAGGTAACGGTTGGATGACATCACGTGCCACGCCATTTGGTAGAGCCTCGATGTGAAACGACGAGTTGGGCGTCCGACAGGAAGTGTCAGAGATCGTGTGATGACCGGGAGAAAGCTTATAGGCAGTCACAGAGCCCGCTAAATTAGTCCGCAGATGATATAATATGGAGAGGTCCTTTCCTCTAGAAAGCCATGGAAGCAATAATAATGCAATCATTCTCAGGAAAGTACGACTAATAGGGGCAAATAGTGAGTCATGATATAATTACCGTCATCATCTGTTTTGACTTCCAAGCGACCACTAAACATCGCAGCCAACATTGTATTGCCTCTCAAAAGTGTTCCGATAGTTGTGAAAAACAAAGAACCACCGACATTAAGCTTCACATAATTATTTAGGCGCTCCAATGCTTCCTCTTCGCCTGCCATGAAACCAAAACCTAGCGCTAGACTTGACCTTGGAGCTTTGAAAGCGCTTCGACTAACAGCCCACAAATTTAAACCTCAGTATTTCGGATTCAGATTTATTTGTTGAGTATAGAATGCTTGGAGCCTATGTTAATCCTTTTCTAGTAGATTTCTGTGGTTTTCCAAACCCTTCTTGAACGAATCGTTTGAGGTTGCAGACACCACATTCCATGTACTTTTCTTTTTTTTTCTTTTTTCGATTACAGCTTGATTCCACACCGCATTTTTGGTACAAGTAAGGAATTTTCAGCGTGGATATCGGTAGCCCAAATTTCGCAGGCCGACCATAGATATCAGGTGTGCGCCGGCGTGGGCTCGAACCCCGGACCATATGCATGGTCGGCGAGAGTCCTAACCACTGTGCCACCCTACTCGTATTTTATTGGTATTTACATATCACATTATGCATTCTAATCGTATTATCCACTCCGGGATTTTATAAATCGTTTTAAACCCAATAACTTCCATATTTGCAATAAACTCAAGAAAAAGCACCATGGAGGTTGGCAGCGTGCCTTAAAATCTACACCCATACATCACACCACTGTTCCAGTTATCATTAGCACCAACTGCCGGTCCCTGCCTAATAAAATTCTTGATTTTCAGTTTCTGTTGTCTTCTAGCACCTACCACAATACTTGTATTGTCACTCTACAAGAAACCTGGCTCCATGACTCATACGATGACAATATTGTGTCTCTAAACAATTTCAATGTTTTTCGACAAGACCGTGTTTGTTCCAAGAAAAAATTTGGTGGAGGTGTTGCAGCTTTTATTCACTCAAAATGGTCCATTTCTAACAAAGTTTGTTTCAAATTCTCGAATGACTTCATTGATTGCATCACTGTGAGATGTCGCCCGAAACACCTGTCAAAATACAAATTCATTTATATTTCTAATGTTTATGTCTCTCCTGGCTGTACAATATTGGATTTATCTATGTTCGCCGATGAATTCACCGCTTTTGCTGCAGCTTGTTTCGAGAACTCTTTATCAATAGTAACTGGCGACTTCAATGGAATCGATTGCTCCTTCCCTATATCACTTGGTCATGACAATATTGTTAACTTTGCCACCCGTCTTGGTAAAAAACTGGATCTAGTATTCATTAATGATGCTGGCATATATGAAACTCGCAAACGTGCTCCTCCACTGAATTCTGACCACTGCATCATACGTGTACTGCCTAAAATATATTCCAAATCACACAAAGGTGTCCTTTCTCACCTCTACAGTAAAGTTCAACGGAGATGCTACTCAAAAGACAACCTAGACAAGCTCAGATGCATGTTGAAAGACACTAACTGGGACTTATTTACAGAACAAACATTAGATGAAACAATCACAAACACTACCGATTATCTTAAATTCTGTTTCGAAATATGTTGTCCTAAAGAAACATTATTCATTCGATTTGATCGCTTATTGTCAATGGAGTTGAAGATTGAACGATCAATTCTTGGTTGTTTGCTCAAAATCAACTTCCTCGATTTTCGCGGAGGCATCAATACGACAGTCATCGTCTCATCGGTCGCTGTTCAGAAAGAAGAGTTAAATATCGTCAGAAGTAACATAACGATTTATTATTGTAATATTTGTTTACAGACCTTAGTTTTCTTAGTTTGCTTAGTGATACTTGATTTATATGCTGGTGTAACAATACATAATACTCAAGTCAACAATTGGTGTTCTGGTTTTTTCGTCCGTTGTTACTAAGCGTTTCTCAGAAATCTTCTAAGAACAGCGTAGGCCCGAGCGTAGCGAGAGCTGGGCATTAACGGTTTATGAGACTTTGATGACAGTTTCTGACGATAGAAACAGATCTGGCGGATTCAAACAGTTGGTGAAAGTTTGGATAGTCACCGTTCATCTTTCCTGGTGCCGGTCAAGTCCTCTTTGAACAAGCAATATCTGGAACTGTTTTGGAATTGGGTCAAGTTCAACAATGCCTGGGTCAAAGAAGGGACAGAGTGTCTTGGATGCAAACAGGAAAGTAAGTCATGGTGACTTGTCTGTTAATTGTAACGATGTGTCTGATGTTAAACGCGATATGGTTGATGTTACTGTTTCGCCGTTCAGGGATAATAGGAACATCAAACTCCCTAAATTAGAACCACGGTGTTTTGATGGAAACCCGGCTGATTATTTACAATTTGTAAAGGAGTTTGAGATCATGTTGAGTGGTTTTTTATTAAATGATGAATTGAAATTGATGTATTTGATGAGATATTGCACTGGAGATGCTGCAAGAGCTATACAGTGTTGTAAGTTTATGAAGCCAAAGGAGGGCTACGATGAGGCTATGAGCATATTACGCCAAAGGTTTGGAAGACCTTCGATGATTGCAGGGAAATTATTCGAGGCTGTTAAGGGTAATGGTGGTCAATTACAGGATGACTCCCAGGCACTCACTGAGTTTTTAGATAATTTGCTAATTTACAAGAATGGAATGATTTCGATGAATCGAATGAGTGACCTCAACTCGAGTTTTATCCTAGAAGTAATAGCAAGACGTCTACCTACCCGACTGCAAAGGAAGTGGGTGAAGATAAGCTCCCGTATGGAGGATGAGGGTATCGAGCCAAAGTTTGATGATATCCTGAAACTGGTAAATACTAGTGTTAATCAATCTATGAGCAAGTTTTCCAGTCTATTGAATCTCACCCCTAGAATAGAGCAGTCTGAGGGTAAAACGCAATCATTGATGACGAATAGGCCTCAGAGAGGTGGATATCGAGAAGGCTCCATGATGTCTAGTAATGCATATAGACCTAGTGAGTGTAACAGGTTTCGTAGTACATCCTCAACAGATAAGTTACAAGATGCAAGGCAAACACGGCTTTGTTTTACACGTGTGCAAGAGGTGCATACAGAAGTGAACTGTGAACCAGTGAGCAAGTTCAGTGATAAGCTAAATGTAAACTCCAGGTCTGACTCCGAATTGTGTGACGATAACGTTGTTGTGAAGAAGTCTGTAGTTGCAACTGGTAAGCCGTTGCTGAATAGAGTGTCACAGAATAGAGTTACTGCTTCAGAGTGGAGTTCTGACTCCACAAGTTTACAAAGTATAACTAGTCAGAGTGAAGATATAAAACCTTTAATGATTTGTGAGGAGGAACCAAAATTGTCTACTTCTGTTATTAAAGAGTTTGAAAATGATGAACTTGACGGTAAAGTGAATATTCGTGATAATGATCATGATGCTTCACATTTGTCTTTGGTTGATCATTATGAGATGAGGGATATGCCTACTACTGCTAAGTTAAATAAAGGTTCTGTACAACTACAACGTGAAGTAGAATTGAACGCAGATGCAGTTACAGAAGGTGTGCATACTTGTGAGACAGTCAGTGTAATTGATCAGCGTGTAGCCCACCTATCATCAGATGCTAGTGTTAAACCTGAGCTGATAGTAAAAGACAGCAGTGGTGGTGGTCTTATAGGTAGACAAATTTCTGAAAGCCGAGCAACAACAGCTTTTGATCCACCGCTAACTTCATCAACTGATATCAATCAGTCGTCGTTGGTGCTGTCATCCACAATGAAAAAGACACCCATCAACTCAAGTATCTTGTGCAATGACTATGATAGTATTGGTGCGTTTGAAAAGACGAAAGATATTGCTCAGTTTAGTGAGAATAAGCCAAATGTAAACGAGAGAGTAATTGTTAAATTGACTTGCACGAATAAAGGCATTTCTAGTTTCAAGTTACTATTTGAATGTTATTATCTTTGGTGTAAATTACTCTGTTTCTATACTTGGTTGATGAGATATGTCGTGTGTTTGTTGGTCATCTACATTCTGCGATACAATGACATGGGCGTGTTGCCGTTCAGATTTGAGGATATAGCTGATAGAAGGAAGTTAGCAAATGAACTATGCGACGATTTTCCAACCTAGGGCGTCAACCTGAGAAGGGTTGTAGGCGTACTGCTGTAAGTCCTACAGTTCTTCAAAGGGTAGCGCATCAATGAGCAGTCCAATGTGCTTGGTGTATGATCTTGTACATATGTTCATATTGTATATACTGAATTGATATCATTTATCATCTAGCTGTTGGTAATTCTGTTTGTGTCCGGACGACTTTCACTTGGATCATCAACCTGAGAAGGAATGTAGGCGTACTGCTGTAAGTCCTACAGTTCTTCAAGGGTAGTTTGTCGTGTCAGGATCCACAACATTTGATGTGTTGATTGTACATATGTTTGTGTTAAATAGTTGTGTGAGTTCCAATTGATGTAATTGTTGGTTAATCTTGTTTGTGTCTGGACATTCCACAACTTACAATCGTCAACCTGTGAAGGGTTGTAGGCGTACTGGTGTAAGTCCTGCAATTCTTCAAGGGTATTCCATCAAGACATGAAATGCGAGTTTGTGTGTACTGTTTGTATATACGTTTGGTGTGTCATATCAATTGGTGTTATTTGAATTCATTGTGTTTACTCGTTGTTTTCGTACCTTGTTGTTATTGCATAATTTTGTTAAAATTTTCGTCGTGATTACTTCTGAAGTTGTGGCCACTCTTCTACATCCGTGAATGAATTGATTGATGTTAAGGACAGCAGATGGGTCGTATACGCCGGGGAGGCTAGGCTATTGCTGAGAATGAAATGCACACGGAGATAATTGTTAGCTGCGGTCCGACACGCCGGGGAGAAAGAGTGTAAACGACTGAGGCTCGCATGCGTCACCGCTACTAGAACTGAGGCAGAATGAGTGAAAAGCGATTTCAGTGATAATTGATAGTGAATAGAAAAGAGGATGCTTGAAGAGTATCATGAGGTGCTGCTATGGTCACGTTGCATTCTGCAAGAGTCATTCTAGTAAGTGGCGATTGTGTTGCAAGATGTCAAGAGGAGGTCTCTGTCTGGAGGCGCAGGTCGTCAGCGATGTGTGAGATTGTGCTGTGGGTATGCTTGTGGTGTGTTGGCTTTCCTGTTTGTTTTCCATTTCAGCTCTG